AAACAAAAGGCCAGCAAAACGAACGAACTGTAAGACCCAAAAAGGCAGCACCTTTTATTTTAATATTTGGTCATTAAAAACAGTTTCCAGACTCACTAAGCGCAAGACGTCGGCCCCAAAGACCTAAAGAGCTACCACCCTCCCTCCCATCGAAATGAGTTCAATCCACAACGTTTTTGATTTCGTTTTTTACACACACACACATTCACACACACACACACACCTATACGAGTTGCTTGTTTTTTTTATGATGACAGCGCAAAATGCCGAGAAAAATGCGTAAGGGAAAAACAAATCGTTGCACACGGCAGCAGCAGCAGCAGCAGCAACAACAGCAACAACAGCAACAACAATAACCTTTAACGCCCCAACAATTAAGGCTAAACGCTTTTATAACATCAATTGTGGGCGGGGCGAGTCGAAAACTTTGGATTTTTGTGTAGTGAGTGAGAGGGGGAGGGAGGGTATGGAGTATGAGGGCAGGTCTGCTTTGGGGTTTGGAAAGTCCTCAGATTAATGACACTGCGCGATTTTTACGATTGTTTCTTCAAGTTACGGAAAAAAGTTACGAGGTATTCGGTTTGTTTTTTTTTTCTTCCTTTTCTTTTATTTTTCTTTTGTTGCTTGGAAATTTATGAAATTTTACCTTTTGGCCAAAGCAATTTGCTCCATTTACATTCTTTATTAGCCAAACGGCGAGTTAGCGGCGTTAAAAAGTTTTTGTTTTTTTTTTTTCGCTCTTTGTTGCTGCTGCTGCTGCTGGCAAAGTAGAAGAGCAATTTCTTCATCCTATGTAAGTTACATAAAATTGGCATACAATAGATTAAGCCGACCAAACAGTCGCGTAGGGTAGTGGGAGTGTGGAGAGCGGAGAGGGGGGGAGGGGGCTGCACCACAAAAGTTTTGCTTCAATGCTGAAAATAATGTAGAAAGCCTCAAGGCCAAAGTCAAAATGAAAATGCAAACTTTGTAAATTTGTAGGTCATACCTCAATATATTTACTGTATATTTATGAATAAGATTGGATAAAGCAAACATTCTGAGAATATTGAATAGACAAAAATAGAATCAACAAGGTGATGTGAGAGAAATTAGCAATGACCAAACGTTAACTGAGTTTGAAATAGAAGAAGATAAGAGAAATGCAATAAAAACTGAAATTGAATATAATTATTAATATTATTATTAGTATTCTTGTAATGACATTGTAAAATAATAAGTAACGCGTTCTTTAAAGTCGATCTCAACTAAAAATTTACATTTTGCAGCAGGAAATTTTTCTGTTACTAATGCAGGTCCAGGTTACATTTTTTTAAATTGATAAATTTTATATTTAATTTCCTGGTCCTTCGTTCGTGATTTGAATTGTTTCCTATTGAGCTGCAAGGCCTCTAAAGCAGACACCAGCAAAATTTTAATTTAACAGTCGACAGACCAAATTTCATTACTGTTTTCAACATTTTTAGAAAGGATTTTTTTTATAAATAAGGGTTGGCCTTTCTACTTTTTAGAAGCATTTTCGTATATTTCAAATTATTACTAAAAACCAGAACATTTTTTAGTATTCAGGGGAACATTTTTTTTTTAGTTTAATATGTTAGAGCTTTAATATTCCTCAGAACTGAATATATAAATGCAATGTAACTAAAACTGATCTGTGGCAAATGTGTAATTGAAATAATGTTTTTCTGTTCTCATTTATGTAGTACATTTTGTTGTTGACCCCTTTAAGCCAACAGCATCATTAACAATAATAGCAACATTTTCAAACTCCACTCAAAACTGGTCAATATCTATGGTACTCTAATCAACACTGCTTACCATCCAATCATTAGGGTCTATATCTAATGCTATTATGATTAATTAAGACAATGTGACTTTATTTTTCTATTAATTCGTTTATTTCCAATCATTTTACTATCGATATTTGTATAAAGAATTAAGTATTGCGTTTCCTAGTCTCAGTCTTATTTAGTTGTGTCTCTTCAAGCATATAATTGCATAATATTTATTATGTTACTTCATTCAAACACGCCCACATTTTTAGCCACGTGGGGAATTTAATAAATTCATCATCCTTCATTTAGTTGCTGCAGTCGAGTCTGTTACATAGAAAAGAAACTCGCAAGGACCGACTGAGGGAGTGAGAGAGGGAAAAAGGGAGAAAAACAAAGGAAAAAATTATATAAATGTGTGTGTGTGTGTGTGTGTGTGTGTGTGTGTGTGTGTGTGTGTGTGTGTGTGTGTGTGCTTGTGGAGCAGAAGGACGGAAAATCGCCAGGAAATAAAAAAAAAATGTCACAGACAAGCATGCACGGAAGATGCGCGCAGGCGGCAATGGAGGCGTGGCAGCGTCGCTGCTGACTAACAAAAAAAAAAAAAAAAGCAAAAGCAAAAGCAAAAGCAAAATCGTGACTGTCATTTCAACGAAGCGAAGTTATTTTTCATGACAAAGCAGCCGAGCAGTCCTCGACTCATTTTGCCAGCCGGCGGTAAAGCAGATAATGGCGACAGGGATCGGGACAGTTACTTGTTGTTGTGGGCTGTGTGGAGTTGGAGATGGAGGTGGAGAGAGTGATAGGTGCACGGTATACACGTTGTACAGCAAGTTGTGCAATGGTGCGGGGCAGAGGAGTAAGTCTGAGCAGTTCAGCGTTAAAATACCTTTTACTGGCACATTACAAGCAACGCGCTCGCGCTGCCTAAGCGAGCCTCCTCCTCTCCCCCCTGCCCCTCTGTCCACACCCCTGTGTCCCCATCAGTCCACCAAGTAAGCCATGCCGCCGAAAAAGCAGCAAACGAATGGAAATGCAGCTCTGCTGCTGCCAACATCGCTATTGGCGTCGCTGCGTTTTTCATGAAATTATTACGACTTTGGAAATGGGGTCGTACAAAATGTCGTTACGTTAAGTCAGAGCCTCCCGTTCGTTGTATGTATGGAGGTGGGTACATTACTCCTCCCCCCGCCACCTATTGCAACCCTCCTCCTTTTGCTTTCCTCGTTGCTCGTTTTAGTTTATTGTTGAAAATTTCTTGATTGTATCTGTTGAAAATGTTTGGAAATTGGTTAAAATTGAAGCCGAAGCTTGGAGCCATGATGCAAGCTGACTGACAAGCTGCTGGTATACCTACATAATCATATGAGGGTCTTTAATTGTTTAAATCAATTTCCCACTTCAAGTCCATATACAAACTGTCAACAAAAGATCGAGAGAATAAGAGAGAGAGAGAGACAGAGAGAGAGAGAGAGAGACAGTTTAATTCTTGGAGTTGAATTCGAAGTGACCCACAAAAAATCGTCTCGTCTGGTCACATCCCATATCGTCTAGCCACAGAGAGATATTTGTCGCACGCTCGTAAAGATCGCATTAAAACGCCATAAAAAAAAAGAAGCAAAGCATTACTTTTATTTTTTATATACCAGGTACTACGGGCACATCGTATTTCTTTAGTTATTTTTCACTTTTCGCTGGGCACAGTTTTTTTTTTTTTCTTATTTTTAATTTTTTTTTATTCGACTTTCTCGCCAATGAAGTTGCCCATCATCGCCATCATCTTCATTATGGCCATCATCGTTCGAGAATGTAATAAGCGTGAAATAATTGACATTTAAGCAATGCGCACACGCACATAGAGACAATGGAACGAAGAGAAAAAACCGCGCTGGACAAGTTTAGATAGCCTCTCCCAGCACCTCCTCTCCGCGTTGCTCCTTCTCCCTGTTTCACGCTTTGTAGGCCAACGCCGCTGCCAGCCATCTGAATGGAGCCCAAGCGCAAACGTTAAGTCGAGAATCATGACAGATGACCGCACGTACTCACTTCTCTCCACATTTTACATTTAACGTCTCACGACCGAAACGCAGTCGAAACTTCAACTTAGCTGGAGTTGTGAGCTGCCAGCTGCCAGCTGCCAGCTGAGAGCTGAGAGCTGCGACTCACTGATGGAGTTAAGAGGGACGCGGTCGTAGTCACAATCGCTGTCGGAGATTCTTTTGGGACAACGTTTCTGGGTCATGAACCGAAAATGTAAAATAATGAGTTGGTTTTCAAAAAAAATGTCGTTGTGCCTGCTCCTCCTCTTGCTCCCCCCCATTCACTTCTACTTGCTAACCTATTTGAGTTGACTCCTCGCGTTTTTGTTTTTACTTTTTGCTGGGCAGGGTCTTGTCGATTTGCCAAACATTTATTTTATTTTGTTCTTTTTTTTTTTTGTTGGGGTTTTTTGGCATTCAACTCTGCGAACGCTTCACCTGTGCGCGAGGGGCCAGCGACATGAAACATCTGTCAATGCGACACGTGATGTGTTTGCAAAATGTTCACACACACACACAGATGCACGTATATATATATATATATGTAGTTACGCAGACAGGCCGCAAATTGGCGTTTAAATGTGCGATAGTTGGGTGCCAAGGTAATCAGATTAGATGCCAAAATGATAGAGCCCGTGGAATTTCATAGAAATATTGCAATTACTGAGCAAATGCACGTTTCAGATTCGATTTTCAGACTAGGCTCTTATTGTGGAAACTGTTATCAAATGAATGATAACAATAATAATAATAATAAAAATAATAATAATAATCATATTTCAACTCTAATATGAGTCTAATCCTGCAATTTGTAGAGTATTAAGACTTTATTTCAGTTTGGACAAGTTTTATATAGTTTTCATTTCGCTTTACTTTCGTTCTTTAATGTCATGACAACCTATTGAAAACCTCTATTGTTCTATTTAAGCCTGAAATCTGATACCCTTGTGAAGAGTTTCTGATGCCTTGAAAGACACGGCTTCGCCCCTCTCAGCCAGTTTGTCTGTTTGTTTCTATTTAAATCTATCTTCATGAAACCGGGAACATCTGTCTTATCTTACTTATGTGTAAAGAGATTACATGCATACAAAATATCAAAGTTTGCCATAATAATCATCATCTGCTTTTGCTTTTATTCAAATAAACTACAAATCCCCAATTCTTCATTATCTTCTTTTTGTTGCAGTCAGCACCATTGCCATCAATGACCTCAACTAAGTCGTAAATGGTAAGTGCAAAATTGTCTGTAAAATACATTTTAAACTCACAATCAGAACTGAGGGCGAGACTATACCCCCCAACTCGCCTTCAGCCCCTCACTTTTCCCCACTAATGCATAGAATATAGCATAAAACACCCTCAACATGCAGTCGCCCTCGCTGTTGCCCTCGACCTTAACATCAACGACGGTCACGCCCAACGCCTCGTAATGCGGCGCCAACTAAATTGCTTTGCTGCTCAGCAGCAGAAGCCGGGGCAGCATTACCTATAAACCAAAATGAATGACTAAACGAGCGTTCCCCCGCTGCTTGCCCCGTACAGCAGTTACATCGGTGGGAGATGGGAGGTGGGAGGTAGTGTGGGCTGGGGTGTGGCGACTGCAATATAAACGGCTGTGAATTTAAATATATGCGATACGATGGGAGATGGGAGATGTTCCGATGCCGATGCCGATGCGAGTATATGCAAAAATGTCATGCTGACTGCAACCAACATAGTCATCACCAGCACTAGCAGCAGCATCAGCAGCAGCATCAGCAGCAGCAGCATCAGCAACGGCAGCAGCCGGAAAATGCAATCGCATCGGGCGGTCATAATATGGGCAAAGGAGCTATAAGGGGCGTAGGGGTAGGGGTGAGACTGGGCTGGGCTGGGCTGGGCTGGGCTGGCGTGTGGTCTCATCACGGGGCAAGTTGATGGTGCTAAAAACTGTTGGCCACATGCAATGTCATCATCTCCATATATATACATACACACCACACCCATCATCATCGCATGCAACTCTAAATGAAACATTTTGCTAAAACCCCCAAACCGCCTCCCCCACCCCTCCATTTAACTTTGACCACGCGTAAATTTCACTCATTCCCCTCCAAACCGACAAACTCTGCGCACTGACATTTTATTAGGAAAATTTCTAGGAATGGGTAGGAGTCGGATGATGGTGGGGTGGTACGACTTTTGTGATGAATCAATCCGTTGTAGCGGCACGACGCCACATTTAGCGGTTGCAGCCAGACGCCAATGAGACTTCTGCCGCATTACGCCATCTGCCGGCAGTTAAATAAGTTAAGCAGGCCCGATTACAGAGCGATGCTCCATTTCAGCCACAGCCACAGCCACAGTAGCAGCAGCAGCAGCAGCAGCAGCAGCAGCAGCAGCAGGAGCAACAGCAGCAGGAGGAGCATCAGCAGTTGGGAGTTGGGAGTTTGGAGCTTAATGCGGATTAATCTTTTATCTTACCCACTTGCGTAAAGGTAAAATTGGATGCGTAACTGTCGTGTTACGAATGGCAGTGAAGCAGTTTTATTTTATGCAATTTGCTTAGCTTTGAAATTAGTTAAATTAATAGTTGATGGAATGTACAGAAAACAGCTAAAAGCAATCAATTTGATTTCGATGAGATACAAGAAATCTTACTTTACTTTACTTCAACTACTGCAACTGCCTCATTATCTCTCTTCACTGCCGCAAGTGCGTCAAAGCGTTTTTGTCCCGTTCAACTTTAGCCATTTGTTGCAAATGCATTCTTGTACATATTGTATGCAGATATTTTTAATTAAAATGACATTAGCTTCTTTTTTTTGGCAGTGTTCAGTTGAGGGCTCTAAGCGCTAATTATGATTAACAATTCAGTCAGCTGTTGTCCTTGTTTAAAGTCACCACTAATCCCCACTCGTCTCAAATGCTGCTTGCACGTGCATAATTTAGCTGTTGCCTGTGTTGGTAATGCATTTTGTTGTATTGTTTTCATTTATTTTTGCTAGCCATATTTGCACAACAGCGACCAGGGTCATAAATATGGCGTACGTCGCCTTTAATATGCAATAAGCTGTTGTATTTATTTGCACAGCTCAACAAATTCAAATGATTTTTTTCCATAACTCATTTGGCACAGCGACTAAGCTCACCCTCCTCCCAAAACATATGTGTACCGCTCTGGCCCAGGTTAACCACTTGCCACGCATTTGAAATCATGACATAAACACTTTTGCACATCCCAAGCAGCAATCCATACATACAATTCACACAAAATTTAGCATTTATTTTGTTTATATGCTTATTTGTTTGCCTTGTTTGTTTGTTTGCTGCGGCTGGCTGTTGCCAATGACTTTAATGATTTGTGGTCAGGGTTATGCAATTGCAGCAAGGGCCACGAATTGAACACATCAGCCAACTACACAGGGAAACACGATACACAAGCTAAACATATCTCATCCATATACAAAAATATAAATATATACGAGTATGTATTATGTGTGTGTGGCAAGCAATTAGCACAAGAGACTTGCACTTTCCGGACAGAAGTGGATCTAAAGCAAAAACAAACTTATCTAATCGCCTTTAAGAAACACTGCTCTCCATTGTCGTCTACCAACCAGCCAGAGGAGCTATCGCATATCTCAGCAAAGGCAAATATTGTCATACGCTGCCAACGACGCTGACGGCGAAGACTTTGTTCAATTTATCAGACTTCAGAGGTAAGAACGATGGAAAGATTTCGATGTAAACCAAACTGTGCAAATTATTTACACAACTCAAAATTCACTTTAGTGTTTCATTCAGTGCAAATATTTAGTTTGTAGTCTTCAGTTTAAATGTACCTAAATTGGTGGTTCTCTTATCAGAGCCAGCTAAATAATTCCAAGCTCTCTCTCTCTCTCTCTCCCTCTCTCTCTCCCTCTCTCTCTCTCTCTCTCTCTCTCTCTCTCTCTCTCTCTCTCTCTCTCTCTCTCTGTACTATGTCTATTTTCAATTGTCATTGACATGAGTTTGCCAAATTTGGCATATCATAAAAAGAAGACAAAATAAATCAAAAATAAATTTTTTTTTATTCTTTCAATTCCCCCCAGAAAATCAATACGAGTACCGCACTCAATGCAGAGAAAAAAATTGTTTTTCTTTTTTTACTTGCCTGCTTTTTGTTCAGTTCTCAGATCAGAGATCTTCGATCTTAGATCTTGGCATGCAAGTCATGCGCCGCGCTTTTGGGGGAGGCCTCGACGTCGTTGCTTATTGGGGTCTCCCCACACACTCTATGTGAGTAAAATGTAAAATGTCAACATGCTGCATGTGGCTAGAAGAGCCAGAAGAGCCATAAGCTGCTTACCATTGTAAACGGTTGCCCATTTTTGGAGGCGCAACGGCCTTGAACATCTTTTTTGGCTTGTTTATTGCTTCGGTCAAGCGTTCAATTGCTAACGATGCGTACAAATTGAACGAACAAGGGGCTCCATTGATGGAAGGAAGACTACCCTTGATGGATTGCCGACATTTCAAGCTTGACGCTGAGAACTGTATAATTTGCAACATGTTCAACTTTAAATGCTATAATTTAAGTCGCAAAAAATCACCGATACACAGACAATGCATATCAATTAAGTTTCGCTTCAATTTCAATAATTGCTTTAGCTGCCCAACAACCTTATGAATTTTGCACTCCGCTCAGCTTGGACTTGCAATGCAATGAGATTTAAACTACTTGTTTGGATTAATCTCACAACATCAAAGCACTTCATTCAATTCTGTTTAACTTCAACAACAATTTTACTTTTCATTAATTAATTGTACAGATTGTGTTTTGTGGTGAAGTTTTGATTCAAATTCAACAATTGCATAATTTTGCTGTGTTATATCATTATAATGTAGAATTATTTACAACTGAACTATCTGTATGCCATTGTTTCCCTTGTTCCTTTGAGCATGCTCATAACTTTATTCGACTATTTCAATTAAGCTTTCAACTTTAATCAAACTTCGATGCATTCACATTTGTGGCCCCAACTCATCGAGTGCGAAGTAAATCATCAAACCAAATCGGCGTTAACTGCTTCGCATGGATAACTGTCGAAAAGTCAGTGCTATTGGACTCTTCCATTCAGCTTAAGAGGGTTGGGGGCGTGGTCACTGCGGTTGCTCGTCATTCACCTTGGCAATCTGGGAATGCACATTGGAGCGGAAAAACCAGTAATTAAATGGCTTCACTTTTACGCTTTTTCTCTTTTGCCTAAACACAAAAAAAAATGTGCTCCCTCCTTTCTGACTTTGGTGTTTTATATTTTGTTTGTTTGTTTTTTTTTTTATTTTTTCGCTTCTTTTGTTTTTTATGTCGCCAGACAGCCCCCTAGTCGGAGCAGTCGAGCAACCAAAGCAATAGTAACCAGTCCAATTTGTAACTGAAACTTTCATTTTCATTTTTTGTATATATTTTTTATAATTTTCTGCTTACAATTTTTAAGCATGTAACGAAAAACCGGCACCAGCAAGATCTGTCAATGTACTGTGTACCAGTTGACATTGTGGAAATCCCCTGTCTCCGATTGCTCTCTTTACCATCAAATGCTTTGCTGCATTTTATTGGCACGCGAATGTCACAGCTGTAATAATAAAACCAAAAAGTCTACAAAATGTTGATTATGCTGAAGCTTAACATAAGATAATAACAAAAACAAGCTTCGTCACATCAAACAAATTGCAATAACTATTGCAATTGAAACTACTTAATATTAAAGTGAAAATTGAGCAATGTTCAAATTTCATGATTTTGATACCAATGCATGTGCTTTTAAGTTGTAAGTAAAAGTGGATGAAAGTGAATGCATCAAAATTAGAAAGTGCATTAAAATTGAAATACAAGAACTACAGCAAGAGAGAGACAGATACTGTGTGTGAGAGAGAGAGATAGAGAGAGAGAGTGAAAATGTGAAAAAGAGATAACAAATGCACAACAAATTTATTTCGTAAATATAATATTACATTGAAAATATGTATTGCAAATTTCATTTATTATTATGATATTGATATATTGAAAAAGGGAAATGCAAATTTGTAGAAGTCGAAATCGACCAATTGACAATTATTTGCAATATTTATTTACACTCAATAAAATGAGCTTGTTGAGCGAAAATCTACTTAAATATTTTGGTTTTTTTTTTTTTTTTTTTTTTTTTTTTTTTTTGTTGTAACGTGCAGTTGCACACAACATTCTCTATCCGCTGCCCAGGTGTC